GTAAGTTTCTTTAGCTCTTTAGGGGGAAGTGAACTGGTGTTAGGTCTCCACCATCCCCCTCACCATGAGCTAGTATGTAGAGCTACCATGGTGTAAGTGACCTTCTCTTAGGTTCATATAAAACCTAGGTGTACGGGTATTAGAACCAAGCGGATGATAGGATGTCTCTCTAAGATGATACTTAGGAACGATTTGGGGCCAATAGACCCCATATCACGCTCTTAGTGGAGGAGTGAGGTTGCAACCTAACAATCGTTATGCCTGCAGGATCTCCCTTCCAAAGTACTTGTGGCTTTTGGATTGTATTATGGCTTGGGACTAATGTGTGGCTTATCTGTTCGGAGAGGATGTTGTGGGATCGACTAATGAACTTATGGATGATTCTTGGCCAATGTGACTTGGCTTCATGACGATTTAATTCGAGGCGTGGATCTATGTTGGGAAATGATGACTTGTCTGGAAGTTGTCTCATTCAAGTGTCGTACGACATAACAACAAGGCCGAGACATTATGTCCATGACACATGGGTTGCATGATCTCATGCCTATATATATAATAGGTTATATTGTTGTGTTTTGTATTCTTTTTAATATAATAAAATAAAAGCTTTAAAAGTCAAAATGGTATCAGACCTTTTTCGATTCTCATGGCTTTCTTATTTCTTTTCCATTAGTGTCGATGTCTATTTTGATGACCTTTAGTATTGCTCACAGAGGTAGCATGTTCAAAAACAAAAGAGTGAATGTCACTCTTGATTAATCCAACTACATGTTATGAAAGCAACGATAAACCGAACTCTTGTTTCACCCAAATGGAGACGGACGGTTGTTGATGAATAAGAGGGCCTTATGAAAAATGGCACATTAAAATGGTTCATTTCCCTTAAAATAGGACATCGATTGGTTGTAAGTGGCTATTTCGTGTAAAACGAAATCTGAATGGTTCGATGGCTTTTATAAGGCTAAACTTGTTGTGAAAGGATTTTCTCAAGTTCCTGAACAAGATTTTCGTGACATATTTTGTTTGGTTGTGAAATCTTTAACGGTGAATATGGTGTTGTCTTTAGCGATGCAAAAAAATTGGAAGCTTCGGCAGGTGGACGTGAATAATGCATTTCTTAATGGTGAATTGAATGAGGACGTATTCATGGTACAACCACCTAATTTTGAGCAAGGGTCGATTGTTGGGGAACACTTGGTGTGTAAGTTGGAGACAATGACAGAACTAAATATAGTTCCAGGGGGACACTGCCCCATTTTCTATTATTAAAAATATATTTAAATAATACCTATTTAGACCTTCAAGTTTTGATTTATTTTGATTTTGCCCCTCATATTTTTTATTGTTAATTATATTTTGTTCCCCTTAAACTAAAATTCTGGCTCCGTCCCTGGTTGGATAAGGCTTTCAATGGGTTGAAACAAGCTCCTAAAAATTGGTATTCTAAACTTTAGACCTTTTTACATAGTATTGGCTTTGTTGGCATGCAAGCTTATGTGTCTTGTTTGTTAAACGTAATGGTGATCGATATGTTTATGTTCTCGTTTATGTTGATGATATTATTATCACCGGTAGTTGTCATAAATTGATCGAGAGAGTTATTAGGCCTTGAAGTTGATTGTTATGAGGGGGTTTTACTTTTAAGTCAACGCAAATATATTCATGAGCTTTTAGAGTGTGCGGATATGGGTGATGCTAGACCTGCTCCTACACCTATGCTATCTTCTCCCAAGCTTTCTCGTGATGGTGGTCGTCTTATTGATGAATCTCTACTATATCAAAGTGAGGTGGGTGACTTATTGTATGTTAGTCATACTAGATCTGACATTTTATTTAGTATTAGTTTTATTGCTCAGTACATGCATCAACCATGTGAGTTGTATTAGTTAGCAGTAAAACGTGTTTTACATTATTTGAATGGTAGGATAGATTATGGGTTATTGTTTTGTGTTTCTTAGAGTAATTTTGTGTTACATGCATTTTTATATGTGGATTGGAAAAGTAATACAGATGATAAAAGGCCAGTGTCAGGATATTGCATGTATATTAGTGATAATATGGTTTCTTGGTATTTGATGAAACAAAGATACGTTTCTCGATCTACGGCGGAGGCTGAGTATCGTGGGATAACTGATGTGGTATATGAGTTTATGTGGCTGAAAGCTTTACTTTGTGATATGGGTATTGAATGTACTGAAGCTCTAGTTGTTATAAGTGATAGTACCGGTGAGTGCCAACCCTGATTTCCATGTTTATTCTAAACATGTTAAGTTTGATGTTCATTTCGTTAAGAAGAAAGTTGCAAATTGATCGATTTGTGTTAACTATGTTTTCGGTTGATTTCAGCTTATGGGTTGCTTCACCAAGCCACTTTCTAAGTCATATTTTCCTACTTTTCGATAAAGGCTTAATTTTGTTAGTAGTGTCGCCTCTTGAGTTTTGACTAAGTAGGGTGAATGTGAACAAATAGTATATGTGAGCTGAGAGTTGGTTGTGTTGAGTGGTTAGTCAGCTGTTGACAGCTGTGAGTTGGTTATTGGGTTGCATGGGTTACGTTAGTTGGTTATTATTGTGCATGAGTTGAGCGATCTCATACCTATATATGATAGGTTATATTGTTGTGTGCTGTAACCTTTTTCAATATAATAAAAGAAAACCTTTAAAAGTTAACAATACATTTTTTAACAACACAGTTTTTTAAAATTATTCATTACAACATTTTAGTTACAAAAAAAAAAAAATCAAATCAATTTTACATAAAAATGACTTATTTTATACTTTTTTCAAAATTATATTTAATTTTAAAATTGATTTTAGAAAATGAAACATGATGAAGTCTTAAAAGAAAATTTTAAAATACAACTTGTTAATATAAGGTAAAGAAACAATAGAAATTAATTACGATCGAAACTTTTAGCAAGAGCTTAACTTTTAGGTTAGACATGATAACCTTTTCAAGTTGAACTGAAAATATTATAAATTTATATAACATTGTAAAATGAACAAGACAACACTCTGTTAAAACTAAAAAGTACCTCAATATAATATTTTTTTTATTTTAACTGTAAAATATTATAAATTTATATAACATTGTAAAATGAACAAGACAACACTTTGTTAAAACTAAAATTAATTTTAAGTTAGTTACTACACAATAGAACCTCCCAAATATTAAGCTTCCAAGGAAAGAAAAAGAAAAGTAGGATCAGCATGTCTGGTTCATAGGACAAATTTCGACCAAATATCATTCATAGTTGATAGGGTTTAACAAAACTCGACTCAAAAAATTTATTTATTTTTTATTTTGAATTATTCGAATCAACTTGAATTATGAATTTAATTTTTAAGTTTGAGTCTCTTAAGAAACTAGAAAAGATGAAAGGAATAATTGTGATTTTATTATGTATAATAGCCTCACGTTTTTACACAGAAGAGGTAAACATATATACATGAATAGCACCTAGTTTTTTAGACTTAATTAACCAACTATGCTGAGCTGGCAAGAGTAGACTGACGCAAGCAAGCTACCAGAATAGATTCTAGAATAATGCCAATCTAGAATACTCTTAACATCCTGCTCTTCCACGTTTCTGAAAGAAAGAAACTTAACATTCTCCCTTCTGTTTCGCGTCTTCAAACGAACAGATACCAAGCTTCTGACGAAACATAACAAAGTAATCCTTAGTTAATGCCTTGGTCAATCCATCAACCACTTGATGTTCAGAGGGAACGTAGTTTACGTTCAGCTTGCCTGCTGCCGTTTTCTCCCTAACAAAGTGAATATCTAATTCAACATGTTTGGTTTTTGAATGATACATTGGGTTTGCACTCATCGCTATTGCGCTAGAGTTATCACACTATATGACCGGTGCAGCTTGCACTTTAGCCTCCATTATCTTCCAAAAACGTACCCAGCCATGTTACATCTAAAGTTACATCTGCCAAGCTTCGGTATTCTGCTTCTGTGGTAGATTTTAACACGGTTTTCTGTTTTTTTTAACTCCACATAACCACATTATCTCCTAGATACACACAGTTGCCGGATATTGAACGTTTATCATCCGAACATCCACTCCAATCTGCATTAGTGAACACAATCAACCATAGAGGCAGGGGCGGACCTATGTGACCCATGAGATAGCAGTTGCAGTACATTTTCCTTAAAAAAATATCAACACTTAATATACTATATTAAAACTTCAAAATTCTGCCCACCTTGTTTTTTACTTCTTTGCCCACTTTGTTTTGTAGTTGAAATTTGTGCTCTTTTCTGTACACTTTGTTTTGTTGTTGAAATTTGTGCTCGTGAGTGAGTAGGAAGCTGTCAATCTATTCCATATTTTCAATTAAAACCCATTGATTAAAATAATATATATCATTTAAAAAAATTTCATTTAAGCTATTACTAATACTAAAGCTTCTATTTTGCGTTCAAACCCACAGACTCCAACCCCACTGCTACTCAATTCTCATTTCTCAGTCTTTTGTTTGTGCCTAAACCACCCGCCACGATGCCGTTCACGGGGGATTTTCCGGTGAACTTCCTCAACCAAGTCGCCGGTAAGTGGTTGCTCTTTTCTTTTCCTCAGATAGTCTGGTTCTTCACTCATTCTTTTACCCTCTTAAATTTAGTTAAATTTATATTTGAGTTTTTAAGTTTTGAAATTTATTTTTTTAATTTGAGTGAGTTAAAATTAAGAGATAAAATTAAATTTTGAATCAATTTAATAGATTTTAGTGATTTTATGAAAAATATTTGAATGTTAAATTGTGATATGTAAAATTACTAATGTATTTTTGGGAAGGAGAAAAAATGGTATATTAAATTTGTGTAATTTAAGTAGAAGCAATTTAGATATGTTAATTTTAAGTTGAATCCATTAATATTATTAATTAGTAATTAAGATCTTACTTCTTTGATAATAAATATAATTACTAATAGTGAATTATAATCAATAATTATTGTGATTTGTAAATTTTGTAATTGTAGTAGTAAGAGGATGAATGATGAAAAGATGAACTCTCAACGAAAGAAGAAGAATGGAACGTTGGATTGGTTTGTTCAAAAGTCCAAAAAGAATGATGTAAGTTCTTCCCAAGTGCCAATTTGTGTCTCATCACCGACTCAACCTTCAGCAACTCAAGTCGAACAAGAATTTTCTTTCCCTTCAAATAATATGCCCCAAACTCAAGAAACCGAAATGAGATCTACATGTATTGCACAAGATGATAGTACAACATTTGCATCAAGAGAGGTGAAAAGCCAAGTTAATGATATCTCTATTCCACATGATCCGGCTAAAAGAAAAAAATTTATTGATTATCATCCAATGGATCGAGAAACAGTGAGGAAAGAATACATACAAAGAGGTGCTTGCCAACCAAAGAAGCACAAATTTCCTCAAACAAACTTCGGAGGAGGTACATTACGTCGCTTTAATAAATCTTGGTTTAATAAGCATTCTTGGCTTGAGTATAGTGTTTCAAAAGATGTTGCATTTTTCTTTGTTTGTTACTTGTTTAAAAATGAAACTACCAAAGTTGTAGGAGGAGATGCATTTTTTGTTAATGGGTTTAGAGGTTGGAATAGGCAGTTCGGTTTAGAAAACATGTTGGTGGAATTAATAGTGCTCATAATCAATCTTTTCAAAAGTTTGAGAATTTAAAGAACTTTAAGTCATCCTTGAAAGTTTCTTTACACCAACAAACCGAGCAAGCTAAAAGTGACTACCAAATCTGATTGACTACTTCTCTTCATTGTTTGAGATTTCTTTTACATTAAGGATTGACATTTCGTGGTCACGATGAATGTGATGAATCAAGTAACAAGGGAAATTTTCTTGAACTTTTGAATTTGATTGCGGAAAAGAATGATGATGTGGGAAATGTTGTTTTGAAAATTGCACCTAAAAATAATCAAATGATTGCACCTTTGATTCAAAAAGAGCTTATCAATTGTTGTGCAAAAGAAACTACCAAGGCAATTGTGGAAGATCTTGGTAAGGATTATTTTGGAATACTAGTACATGCGTCAAGTGATTTATCTCAAAAAGAACAAATAGCTTTGTGTTTCCGTTATGTTGATAAAAAAGGAATGATAAAGGAATGGTTTCTTGGAATTGTTCATGTTGGAGATACCACATCTTTGTCTCTTAAAGAAACGATCTTTTCTTTGCTTGATGAGGATTCTTTGAGTTTTTCAAGAATTCACGGACAAGGGTACGATGGAGCTAGTAATATGAATGGTGAACTTAATGGTCTCAAAACTCTAATCATGAGAGAAACACAATCTGTATACTACATACATTGTTTTGCTCACCAACTTCAATTAACTCTTGTTGTCGTTTTTAAGAAAAATAAAGACTGTGGTTGGTTTTTTGATACACTTGGAGTTTTGTTGAATGTTGTTGGATCATCATGTAGGCGAAAAGATTTGCTTAAAGGAAAACAAACTGAAAAATTGTAAAAGCCTTTGAAAATGGTGAAATTGTGACTAGAAAAGGTTTAAATCAAGAGCTTGGTTTAGGTAGGTTGGGTGATACACATTGGGGTCTCATTATAAGTTGATTTTTAATGTGATTTATTTGTATTCTACAATACATGAGGTTCTTGATTTGATTGGTAACGATGCTCGAAATGTCCATGATGCTCGAAAAGCCGATAATGTGAGTTTTGCAATAGAGTCATTTGATTTTATTTTCATGATTCACTTGATGAAGAGAATATTTAAGATTATGAATGAATTAAACAAAGCTTTACAGAGAAAAGATCAAGATATTGTCAATGTTATGTCACTTGTTACTTTAACTAAAGAAAAATTACAAACTATGACGGAAAACGAGTGGGAGTCTTTTTTTTGCTACAATCACTTCATTTTGTAAAAAGAATGAAATTGATATTCTTAATATGGATGTTGTGTATACTCCTCTGGGAAGAAAGAAACATTGTCGTTTGGATACTACTAATATTCATCATTTTCGAATTGAAGTATTCTTTGGAGTTATTGATCTTCAACTTCAAGAGTTAAACAACCGATTTGATTAGGTTAGTATAGAGTTATTGACTTGTATGGATTCTTTGAGTCCACTTGATAAATTTTCTTCTTTTGAAAAACAAAAGATACTTAGACTTGCTGAATTATATCCCGATGAATTTACAAGTGTTGATAGACTAGCCCTTGATGATCAACTTGATAATTATATTGTTGATATGCGGAGGATTGATAGATTATGGGTATTGAAAGATATGGGTGAACTTTCCATGAAGTTTGTCGAGACAAAGAAACATCAAGTGTACCAACAAGTCTATTTGCTCATAAAGTTGGTATTGATTCTCCCTGTAGCAACCACAAGTATGGAAAGGGCATTTTCTAAAATGAACATCGTGAAGAATAAGTTGTGAAATAGCATAGGTGATCAATTTCTAAATGATTGTTTGGTCACTTATATATAAATAGATGTTCTTGTCCAAATCGATGATGAAAAAAATCTTGAAACGATTTCAAGGAATGAAAGCTCGTCGAGAACAATTGTAATTGTTTAGTATTTTTTTGTGATTTTTGAATGAATTGTTATTTTGGATTTTTAATTATGTAACTTTTTTTATTAATGAATATTATAATATTTATTTTGGACCCCCATTTTTTAATTCCTAGATCCGCTACTGCATAGAGGTTCTTCACTAGCCGAGAAAACCTACCTATAATCAAGTATCATGTTCAAATAACGTAACACTCGCTTTACTGCTACCATATGCTTCTTATGTGGTGAATGCATAAATTGTGCAAGTTTATTCACATTATTCATATTATCTGGCCTCGTATGACATGCATACAATAAAGAGCCTACCAAGCTTCGATACTCTTTTTCATTACTCAACACACTCTTTACATCTTTAGTGAGTTTGAGAGAAATTACTATGGGTGTAAGTGTAGAAACTGCATTATTCATGCGAGCCTTGGCTAATAGCCCCAAAATATATTTCTTTTGACTCAGAAATAGAGCATCACCTACACGTTTTACTTCAATACCCAGGAAGAATTTTAGTTTCCCGATATCTTTTAAAGAAAACTTTTCTCCAAGTGATCTAATAACTCTTTTAACATCATCATTAGAGCTCCTTGTGATGATAATATTATCTACATATACTAAGATATATGCCATGCTTCCACCTTTATTGTTAACAAAGAGTGAATTGTCAACTTGTGAAAACTAAAAACTAAAGATCAAGCTCTTCAAGTATTTCAAAAGTTTAATGAAATGGTTAAGACTCGGTTCAATAATGTGATAAAGGAGATTCAGAGTGATTAGGGTGGGGAATACCACCCTCTTTCTTTGTTGTTGACGAGTATTGGGGTTAATCACCGGTTATCGTGTCCTCACACTTCTGAACAAAACGGAGTCATCGAAAGAAAAAATCAGCATATTATAGAGTTGGCTCTTATTTTGATGGCACAAGCGTCTCTACCATTTCTGTTTTGGACTTATGCTATATGCACAGCGGTTCATCTTATAAATCATCTTCCTACACATGTATTATAGGGCAAGTCTCTTTTGAGAGGTTATATAACAAGATACCAAATTATGAGTTCGTGAGGGTGTTTGGTTGTCGGTGCTCCCCTCACTTACGACCGTTTCAGAATCATAAATTAAGCTTTAGATCTCAGTCATACACTATTCTTTGTTACAACCCTCAACACAAATGGTATCAATGCATGGCATCGGATAGAAAAGTTTATACTTCCAGACGTGTAATTTTTTATGAAACTTATTTTCCTTTCGCAGGAGAGCACAAGCATGATTCACGTGCCCAAGAAGTTGAACGAGAGTCAAGCAAAGTTTCATCTTTGTTTCCGATTATTGATAGTGCATGAGAGGTCTGCATGAAGTCAACCACGTTGCATGAAAACCAAAATGAGGTGGTTGTTAATTCATGTGAAGCAACTAGCAATAATGTGCCTCTGTTTTTTGTCCAACTAGAAGTTGAGTAATATTATTTGTGGGCATGTTAGCAGGTCTAACGTTTTCTGGGATTTCCGTCGTCACTCCGGTGGGTTTGTCTGGTTTGCTCGGCCTCTTTCATTCTCTCTCTTCATCGTTCCCTGCCCAGACTGATTATTTCATGGATTGTAGGAAACTGTTCGTCAGTTCGATAGGGCAAGACTTGGAATTTTCCCCCCAAAATCGAGCGATGGTTCTCTGTTGATCCAACCGCCACCTGAGGTCTTTGAAGAGGGGATTGCTAATTGGATGCTTTTGTTAGTAGGACAATTTCTTGGGCCACCTCCTAATTATGCCACTATGCAGAAAATAATCGATACCATGTAGAAGAAAGCTCTCAAAGGCAATAGTGCTCAAATTAGCTTGGCAGGTAACAACATTTACGTTTTCTCATTTAATTCTGAAGATGCTAGGAATTGGGTGTTAGAAAATAGTCTTTGGCATATTTTTAATAACCCTTTGATCCTTAGGAAATGGGATTCAAATCTAAAAAAATTAGACTTTGATCATACTAAAATCCCAGTTTGGATTCATCTTTACAATGTGCCTTTTGAACTCTACTCTCGAGCTGGACTAAGCTATATTGCAAGTGGCATCGGAGAGCCTCTATCTATGGACTTTGTTACTGCATCTAGGAAAAGGTTAGAGTATGCTAAATTATACATTGAGATTGGTTTGAATGATAATATTCCTGAGTATGTGGATGTGCTTTTGAATGATGGATCTGTTACCTCAATACTTGTTGAGATACCTTGGCTTCCACCACGTTGTAAGAACTGTAGAGTGTTTGGGCATAGTGATAAAAACTGTAAAGAACAAAAACAAACAACTCAAATTACTACTCAAGTATAGAAAAAGAAAGAAGTTACTCTTAATACTTCTGTAGTAACTCCATTAGAAGGAGGAGTTGAACTTCTTCGGGAGAGTATGCAAACAGGAGATAATGGAACTGAGGAGCATATTCCTAAACATGTTTGTTCAGATTCTGATAAAATCAATGGTCCTTCTGATCACATAGATGCCACTGATACTAATGTTGTTGTTAATTTTGTTTCTAATGATCACATAGATGCCACTGATACTAATGTTGTTGTTAATTCTGTCTCTAATAAACCTCCAATGGATAACATTACTATTGTTCCTGAACTATCTTTTGTTAAGAAGGGTAGATGTAGTCCTCCAAAAGATAACCCTAAAATTGTTCTTACTGGTTCAAAGAATAGATTTGCAGTTTTATCTACAGCCGAGGATCCTGTTTCTTCTCCAACAGATGCTTTCATAAAGAAAAGAGCTGCATCTTCTGGAGTTACTGCCCTAGTAAACGAATTGAAATCAAAGAAAAATGACAGAATGGAAAAAGTATAGAATGTTGAAGTGAGTAATAGTATGGCTGCCACTTCTACTTCCTCTCAATGATTGTTGGTTTTTAGAACATTAAAGGACTTAATAGTCCTCTAAAGCAAGTAGGTGTACTGAAAAGAGCTGCACTTAATAAAATTGATGTTTTGTGTCTTTTGGAAACTATAGTGAAAGCTAGTAATGCTTATGCAATTCTTGACAATAAATCTGAGCATTGTCATTCTTGTACCAACTATGATTTTGCTGAAAATGGAAGGATTTGGATCCTTTGGAAAAAAGGTCTGGATTTCTCTATTACTCATGTTTCTGGCCAATGTATCTCCATCAAAGGTCAATACCTCAATGTCCCTCTGATCATTACATCAGTCTATGGAAGCAATGATGGAATTCTAAGAAGACAACTTTGGCAACATCTTTCTGATTTGGGAAAATTGTATGGTAACCTCCCTTGGATTATGGGAGGAGATTTTAATGTCATTCTTAACTCCAATGAAAGCTCTAACTCTGCCCTTTTAGGGCCTTTTCTTTCCTCTTACATGAAGGAATTCCAAGATGCTCTCTTTGACTTAGAAATTTTTGATCACCCTTTCTTTGGCCCCACATTCACTTGGAGCAACAAAACAAGAGTCTTACCTTGCAAGGAAGCTTAACAGGGTCATTGTCAACCTTAAGTGGTTTAGATCCTTTCCGAAATCCCATGTGGAATTCCAAGCTCCGGAAATTTCTGACCACTGTTTGGATTTGGCTTGGTTAACTAAAGAGACTTTTGTTGACCATTCAAAACCTTTTAAATTCTTTAACTTCTGGGCTCAACATCCACAATTCATGAATGTGGTGAGACAAGCATGACAAACTTCTTCACAAGGCAGCCCCATGCAGAATCTATTTTTCAAGTTAAATCGCCTAAAAACCAGCTTGAAATCCCTCAATCAGCTCTACTATAGTGTCATTTCAGCTCGAATATAGTGACATTTCAGTTCGTGTTAAACAAAAGAAATTGGAGTTGGAAACACAACAACTTTATCTCTAAGAGCTGAAGATTCCTTCCATAAAGAGCTTCTTATGCAAAATGAGTTGAAAATCTTAGAAGAGGCTGAAAATATGTTCT